AGTGTGCATGTAATAAGCGTTTATTTAAAAAACAAAACAAAAAAAAAGGAATACTGTGGTGAAATGTGCAATATGTGTCTGCTTGCTAATGGGTTTTACTGATTATACACTTGCATTTGATGTTACAGATTTTATATTTATGGTGTAGAGTTTGGAAGATACCAAGACTATTACAAGGGGGGGTGGGGGAGGAGTCAGGGAATATATAAAAGGATATGCTTTCTAATGGGGGCGGGGTCAAGGCAGCGATTACAATTTAGCATGGATAGCGGTTGATAGGTGTGTGATAGGTGGATTATATATGATAGAAATGGGTTGGCTGTGCCTGATGGGAGTGAGATGTATATAGTGTGTCTGAATGTGAGTGCTATACACTAAAGTGGGAATTGTGACAAATTAAAACTGAATTTCCCATTTAGATGTATCAAATCCACATTGAGTTCACTTCCCATGGCCAACATTTCACATTGTTTTGAATAACCCTTTGCATGTGTATGTCGGTATAAATGTTGTAGAAAACTACTGTAGACGGTATAAAGCCCTTTAACTCTCACATCATGTGCTGACTCCATTATTCAGTCACAAGAGCCCAGGGGCACAGTTTTTGGGGTATCATTATTATTGTTAAAATTATTATTATTATTATTATTAATTTTTAATTTCAGTGTTATTATTATTAGTAGTAGTATCTATGGGGTAGTTCAGTCACAATTTTCAAGCAGGGCTTGTGACAAAAAGGTAGGGAGAGGAAAGGGCTGACAATGACACAATGAGGTGTATTCACTGAACAGGCAACTGTAGATTAATGAGGAAAAAATTGTGACTTTTAGGCAAAATATGGTAGTCTAAAAAAATGAGACGAGTCTAAACCTTGCCTTGTTAATGATACACATTTTACAGTTTAGAAAATAAAAACCATGACGTTGCCAATATTATATGTAGGTGTCTGTAAATTCTGTCACTTGTGAATGTGTAGTGATACTGTTTTGTACAATATCGATATATTCGCGATCTACCCTTGATATCAATGGGCAGTCGATGTTTTCATATCCTGTATTGCATATGATGTGATCTGTGTTATTCTCCCTAATGCAGGTATTGACTGGCACCAGAGAGTCACAGGCCCTTAACTTCAAGGCGGCGCTGGGATGTACATGTTGCAACCTGCCCTAGACTAGAGTATGCTATATTATTTGCAGCCTCTGCCATTTTAGTTCAACCATCTGCCAGTCATGATATGGTGGAAGTGTAGCTGAGAAGTAAGAATAATGCACTTCTTCCCTCCTTGTTTCCTGACATAACATGTTTAATATAAAGTCTTCAGGAACTTTCAATGGCATTATTTTCCCCAAAGTACACAAGTCACTGTTATGTGTTTCTCTATAAGTATATGCGTATATAGATTTATATAATAACATATGTTATTGCATTTGGCTTGTTGGTTTAAATAGTGCATTATACTGTGCTTAATTAACAATATTATGTTGTTTTTCTGATTGACAGCCACTGGATGTAGTTTTAGTCCTGTAATGTAATTATTGCAGTTTCTCTAAAACTGCAATGATTTACATTGCAAGAAGGTGGGCAGGGACATTGCACCCATGCCACTTCAATGAGCTGAAGTGGTCTGAGTGCCTATAATGTCCCTTTAGTCAGGACTGATTGGTCAAAACCAATTGTGTCAGATATAATAAGTTAATTTCATATATAGCTGACATGCTATTATTTATTGTTAATTAGAAGCCAGACTAGATTCTTTACAGTGATATATATATATTTTATAACATTTATTTTGACCGTTTTTTTTTTTATGTAGGCACCTTCCAAGAGAGAGAATGAATCGTAAACAGGCTGGCATGACTAACCGCTGGCAACGGACCTATAACATAGGGGGTGATCTTTTAGGTCTCTCCCAGGCTGTAAAAACTATTGGGCCCAGCTTCAACATGAACATGAGGGACAACCTTACAGGTGGGATAGTAAGATCTACCATATATTTAAATGAAATGTCTCGCTCACCCATCTCATCAGCAATAGCCAATCCTTAAACTCTCTGAAGCTACTTGCCAATTATGGGAACCAGATGGGACAAAATCTTTGCAGATATAACTAACATGGAATCAAAGTTTAGTTCATTTTAATAGAAGGAGTTAAACTAAAGCACCACTTCTTTGGGCCACATATTAAAACTTTAGTCTAGTTTCTAACAAAGTCATCTACATGATCTTGAAATCTTCCCCTTTACTTGGAGACTTTGGAAGTTTATAGACGTCTATAAAGCAATAGATACCTTTTGTACTCATATAACATATCCAGAATAAAATAATGTTTAACAAAAATCTCGTGTTTTTTTTTTTTCCTTATAAGCACTTCCATTATTAGTATGTCATTAAAAAATCAGTCCCTTTTTGTATTGGGCAAGACCAGTGATGTCCACCTAAGACAATTGGCTCCGTTAATGTGGTAGGGTTACATATTAACACTTGTCTGCACAGCTCAACTCTTGTCCTTTATCTGAAATAAGGATACTTAATAGCCGGATAACAGAGTATTACATTTTACCAGTCCTTATGGTTGGTTATAATTATTATTAATATTATTGGTATTTATATAGTGCCAGCTTATTCCGCAGCACTTTACAATAAGAGGGGAATTTACCAAATGAGACAATAACAAACTTTAACAGGAACATTAGGTAGTTGAGGACCCTGCTCAAATGAGCTTACAGTCTAGAGGAGGTGGGGTATAAAACCATAATAGGAAGGGTATTGAGGGAGACAGCAAATAGACATGCTGGGAAAGTAGCAGAACTGGAGGTGAGAGTGGCCCTTTAGGAGAGAGCAAGAGGAAGGATTGAGAGATAGATGTTACTCTTGTAGGCCTTAAGCAATCCTGAAAAGATGGGTTTTGAGGGACTTCTTAAAGGTTTGAAGACTAGGGGAGAGTCTGGTGGGGGTAGGCAGGCTGTTCCAAAGGAAAGGAGCTGCCCATGAGAAGTCTTGCAGGCGTGAATTGGCAGTAAGGGTGCGAGCAGCAGACAGGAGAAGGTCACCAGTAGACCGTAGAGACCGAGAGGGGGCATACCTATGAATCAGTGAAGAAATGTAAGAGGGGCTAGAGTTGGTTAGAGCTTTATAGGTAAGGGTTAGTATTTTAAATTGACACCTGTAGGGTACAGGAAGCCAGTGTAAGGATCGACAGAGTGGTGAGGTGTGAGAGGAGAGACAGGAGAGAAAAAAAATCAGCCTGGCAGCAGCATTCATCACAGATTGTAGGGGGGCAGTACGGCTTCTGGGGAGACCAATTAGGAGAGAATTACAGTAATCCATGCAAGAGATTACTAGAGCATGGACCAGCTCCTTGGTAGAATCTTGCGTAAGAAAGGGGCGTATGTGGGTAATGTTGGGCTAAACTGTATAGCAAGGCGAAATAGCGTGTCTGCAAACAGTAAGAGCCGTCTGGAATGAGGATACAGAAGATGTTGGAACAAGCCAGGTTAGGGTTACCAGAAACAAGATAAACATTTCATAAAAGAAAAACAAAAGACAATATATGCAAGTAACGTATTATTGGGTTACGAGAAACTACAATAGGTAAAAGACAGGTGTCTATATAGTTTGAACAAAGCATTATAACTACGTACATACGTACTCTCTTGCATGAAAATCAACGTCATGTACACAATTTAGGTCCCTGTCAAAAAAATCCCAAAATCACTTTTCAATGTTCTGCCCAGCCCAGTGTATTTTCAGTCTGATTTGAAAAATATATTATTTTATACAACATTTCGTGTTAGATTTCTACGCATCTTACCCTCTAGATTTTAGAATATTTAAAACAAAAATCGAGTTCCAAACTGGAAGGTCAGTCATTATTTGTAGGTCAGTAGAATTTATTGTTTGTTTTAAATATGGTTTTGTTGTTTCATGAAATAATTCATGCCATAAAGCACAATTTAAAATCTGAACTGAAATTTTGAAATTCATCTGTTCTATAGGTGATCCCTCCATTACACAAACTGCGATTGCTTCATCTTCTTGTCAACATGTTCCAACTGAAAGATCTGTGGAAAATGAAGACACAAGGTAACTGGTTGTAATTTTGCAGCTTTTCTTCCTTCTTCAAACCATTATTCTATACATGTCCACTAAGGTCTTTCTTTATTGTGGTGATTCTGTGAGCGTCCGTGTATTGTGAAGGAATGTCTAGTGGAATTTAAAAGAAATTCCCTAATCACAGTTTAGTAATTTGTTTTGTTTTCTTTTTTTCAATATTTTATTATATTTTCAATATATATGACAAATTAAGAACGTATACAATATACATTTTCAACTCGGATACTGATTCTGAGCCATGTTTATATGAGCAAACACACAAAATCAACCAATCTAATCCAAAGAAAAAAAATATGGCATACATCAGCCTAGGATAGGACATGGTGCAGTGAATTACATTGATTATATTGTTACAATGGTACCTGTTAAGAGGTGAGATAGGCTAGATGATTGGGTCAGAGCATCTCCAAAATGGCAAGTCTTGTAGGGTGTTCCCGGTATGCAGTGGTTAATACCTACCAGAGGTGGTGCAAGGAAGTACAGCTGATGAACCTCATTGATGCATGTGGGGGGAAAAGGCTAGCCCATCTGATCCATTAAGATAGATTGTAGCTCAAATCCAGAAAAACTTAATGCTGGCCATGATAGAAGGGTGTCAGAATGCACAGTGCATCACAGTTTGATGCATATGTTACTGTGTAACTGCCGACCGCCCAGAGTGCCCGTGATGACCACTGTCACCCACCAAAAGTGCCTTCAATTGAGACATGAGTTGCTTGGTATCAAAGTGATTTAGAGGTCTTGGATACTTATCCTGCCAACTGATCTGAAAATATCTGACAGGAGATCATATTTTTATTTTAACAAATAAGAAGCACAGGAATAGATTTCAACAATTATTTCTGTTTTTTTTTTTTTAAATAGACTTCCTTTCTGATGTGTTTTAGGTGCCATTTGTCTCGGTTAAAGACAGATCCAGAGAAAATGTTTTTCTACTACACCCAAAAAGTGACTGCCTGCACAGAATCTGGTCAGTACTGGACACAGCATAACAGTGACACAAGCACACACATATACAGACACAGCACCCCTCTCTCACACATACACACACATTCATTCATTCATTCAACATCAGATTTCAGTGAATTGAAATGTGTACTGTAAAATTTAGTCACAAAATATCCGATTTGGAAAAATTCTCCAACTTCGATAAACTTGCGACTTGGTTCTGTAATTTGGTTTTCCATTCTCTAGAATTTGGTGTTTGGTTAATAAATAAAAAATATGTAACAATGCATTCTGAACATATACTTCTCTTAGAAACATATAAGATATTCTATATTTGCAGACGTGACCTTGCATTGTTTGGGGCTAGAGTGGGAACTTCATCGCATATACATGAAAAAATCTGCCACATTAACAGAACTGCTCAGAGAGGCTATGCTCTACAAAGAAGAAGATTTCACCCAGGATCTCCATAATCCAAACAATGCAGGTAAATATATAAGTAACAAATCTCTATTTCAACTAGATGGATTTAACTAATTGTACGGGAATTTTCACTAAAATGTGAATTGTCTGGGATTCAAAGTGAATTTCAAATTTCACATGTATTGATCATCAGGGCCGTCTTTAGCGCGGGGCAAACGGGGCAGCTGGCCTGGGCCCAGTTGCTCCTGAGGGGTCCCAGAGCAGCTGCCCCGTGGGCCCAGCGATTTGCACAGCCACCATGGACCAAGCGATGCGGCTGCACAGCGCCGCACCGGCCCGCCCACTAAGGAGGCACCCTGGGTGGTCCATGCACTAAGGGCCACCCGGTTGGCATGTGTCAGCAGGAACACGGTCAGGCGTTGTGACGCTTAAACAGCGCGACCGGGCCCCTTCCTGTTTGGCAGCCGGCTGGGAGGAAGTGAGTGCCGCGCGTCACTTCCTCCCACCGAGATCAGAGCCTTGCGGGAGGAGGAAGGCAGGGAGGAGGAGAGTTCCATAGGATAACTCCCAACTGCCTCAGCCTGCCACTGGACCCCAGGGAAACCACCCTCCAGAAAAAGGTAAGAACCTGGAGGGTGGCTAAATGTATGTCAGTATGTCTGTGTGTGTGTGTATGTCAATATGTCTCGGACCAGGATTGCAGGGTCGCGGCTACAAAGACTATTACACACGAACATACTTGACTTTGGGTGAGATGCTAACAGACTCAGGGGTTAAACCATTTTCATCTATTAAACATACAAACACTCCCATGGTCATGGAAAAATTTAATTATGACCAACTTACACATTTTATATGCTCGGTCTATTCACGAGCAGAGAACATACGTGATCTCACTGCATTCTAATCCCTTTGCACCACGCACAACCTACTCAAAAGCCAGCTTTCTCACTTCTATCATATGCTCCTAGGCACGAACCAGAGGGAGCTGATCTCCTTCACCACGAAATGGGCCCAAGACCTACAAATTATCCTGACTTCTGCTGATTGGAAAAAAATATTTTTATTCGCACATAGATCTTCTATGAATGTATCCACACAGGAGAGCAACTATAAATGAATCTCTCATTGGCACTACTCCCCCTCTACCCTTAACCGCATGTTCCCCAACTCTATAGATACATGCTGCAGATGCCATCAGCCAAACTGTGATACCTCGCACATATGGTGGCAATGCCCTGAAGTACACAAATTTTGGAAACGAATCACAACCTCCATTAGGGCCATAACTGGTACACCCCTTCCACTGGAATCGTCCACACTCATTCTATACCTCTTCCCTCTCTCCCTCCCTACATTTAAGACCGCCTTGACCAGACACCTCCTAACGGCTGCAAACCAGCTAATTCCGTTGTTCTGGAAGCAAGCTAAGCTACCTACAATTAGGGACTGGTAATCCATTAGAATCATGGAAAAGTTCTGTGCTACTCCCACAGTCAGGGATACCATAAGTATACAGGTACATGGGCACTTGTCACACCCACCTGGAGATTCGTGAAGCTGATGGAACCCACTTGCAGATGAACAGCACTCCAAAAAAAAGTAAACGAAAATTGCAGTCAGGCAGCAGGCAGAAGTAGTCGATCAATCTGGATTTAAGTCAAGAAGCAGGCGGGAGCAATCATCAAAGGAATCAAGGATCAGGAACCAGGAACATAAGCTGGAAATTAGGGCAATAGGCAGGTATAAAGCAATAAGCAAAATAACCAAGCACTGACTGGAAGGTGTGGTGGGTTTAAATATTCCATGCTACATTTCTTTATAGGCTCGAGCAGCAAGGTTTACTCTCTGTTACATTAATCTGCTCCGATTGTTCTATAGTTACTTCATGCTGGTTTCAGGCGACTATTTAAGTTATTTCTAAACGTTGAATGACATAATCTATCTTACGTATACACCTTATAATATGCAGGCAAAAGTATTCACAGCTACTGCACTGATGCGTACATTGGTTTGGTTTACTCTCTCCCATTAGTAATGCCTAGGGGCTTAACATGCCTCAATACTCGTTGTCTTGCTTGATATGTTACCCAATGTACTGCACCGATTGTATGAAAAACCGATCTTGATCTAGGACACTCCAAGCCTACATGTATGTCATAATTTTATTATGCGTCTTGTATGAGATTGATTTATAACTGTCTGTATTCTTACATTCAATCTTAATAAAACAAAAAGACAAAAACAAAAAAAAGAATATAAAAGGCTTGAAAAGAAAAAAAAAGAAAGTGGAAAGAGGAGACAATAGGCGTTCTGGTCGTTAGGACAAAGGGAAGGTGATTGTAAAGACCCCTCGGGGGAGTAGAGGTCCATTCAAGACACTCAAACACATATTGCGGGGAACAGCGCAGGGAGGAGAGGAGCCCCACCCATACCTCTCGTGTTTCCAGACCCTTTTTCAACCCTGTCTGGAAAATGCACTTCTGGAAATAAGATAAGGAAACCGTTATTTAAAAAATAATAATTTTTAAAAATTGGATTTTTTTTGCCTTTTAGTTTTTCTTTAACATTTCCATTAATACAGTTTATAGTTTGTTTACTAAACAGGGCATTGAGGAGAATTCATAAGAGAATTACAAATTAGCCCAAAACTGTAAAAATGCTCTTACCATATGTTTCCATCTCTGCTGATTCCAACCTGTGATTTGCAATTCTATTCAATGCTTCATATAGTGAATAAAACCCAGTGTAATTCAATGTCATGCCCACATTCTTTTTTGACAGATTTGCTTTCAACTACCAGAGTTGTGCTTAGCATTTTAGATATTGGTTACCTTGCAGCTATCTTCAAAAGCCGTTCATATTGAATATTGTTAATGGCAACCAAACACCACGCTTGAGGCAACCATTTAATATAGTTTTTAATAATCTATCTTGGCAACCCAGCTCTGTTATTAGTATTGTTCCCCTTTACACTAGGAGGGGCCTTGGTCCTTTTATTTAAAGTTTTCATTACTACAGGGAGTGCAGAATTATTAGGCAAGTTGTATTTTTGAGGATTAATTTTATTATTGAACAACAACCATGTTCTCAATGAACCCAAAAACTCATTAATATCAAAGCTGAATATTTTTGGAAGTAGTTTTTAGTTTGTTTTTAGTTATAGCTATGTTAGGGGATATCTGTGTGTGCAGGTGACTATTACTGTGCATAATTATTAGGCAACTTAACAAAAAACAAATATATACCCATTTCAATTATTTATTATTACCAGTGAAACCAATATAACATCTCAACATTCACAAATATACATTTCTGACATTCAAAAACAAAACAAAAACAAATCAGTGACCAATATAGCCACCTTTCTTTGCAAGGACACTCAAAAGCCTGCCATCCATGGATTCTGTTAGTGTTTTGATCTGTTCACCATCAACATTGCGTGCAGCAGCAACCACAGCCTCCCAGACACTGTTCAGAGAGGTGTACTGTTTTCCCTCCTTGTAAATCTCACATTTGATGATGGACCACAGGTTCTCAATGGGGTTCAGATCAGGTGAACAAGGAGGCCATGTCATTAGATTTTCTTCTTTTATACCCTTTCTTGCCAGCCACGCTGTGGAGTACTTGGACGCGTGTGATGGAGCATTGTCCTGCATGAAAATCATGTTTTTCTTGAAGGATGCAGACTTCTTCCTGTACCACTGCTTGAAGAAGGTGTCTTCCAGGAACTGGCAGTAGGACTGGGAGTTGAGCTTGACTCCATCCTCAACCCGAAAAGGCCCCACAAGCTCATCTTTGATGATACCAGCCCAAACCAGTACTCCACCTCCACCTTGCTGGCGTCTGAGTCGGACTGGAGCTCTCTGCCCTTTACCAATCCAGCCACGGGCCCATCCATCTGGCCCATCAAGACTCACTCTCATTTCATCAGTCCATAAAACCTTAGAAAAATCAGTCTTGAGATATTTCTTGGCCCAGTCTTGACGTTTCAGCTTGTGTGTCTTGTTCAGTGGTGGTCGTCTTTCAGCCTTTCTTACCTTGGCCATGTCTCTGAGTATTGCACACCTTGTGCTTTTGGGCACTCCAGTGATGTTGCAGCTCTGAAATATGGCCAAACTGGTGGCAAGTGGCATCGTGGCAGCTGCACGCTTGACTTTTCTCAGTTCATGGGCAGTTATTTTGCGCCTTGGTTTTTCCACACGCTTCTTGCGACCCTGTTGACTATTTTGAATGAAACGCTTGATTGTTCGATGATCACGCTTCAGAAGCTTTGCAATTTTAAGAGTGCTGCATCCCTCTGCAAGATATCTCACTATTTTTGACTTTTCTGAGCCTGTCAAGTCCTTCTTTTGACCCATTTTGCCAAAGGAAAGGAAGTTGCCTAATAATTATGCACACCTGATATAGGGTGTTGATGTCATTAGACCACACCCCTTCTCATTACAGAGATGCACATCACCTAATATGCTTAATTGGTAGTAGGCTTTCGAGCCTATACAGCTTGGAGTAAGACAACATGCATAAAGAGGATGATGTGGTCAAAATACTCATTTGCCTAATAATTCTGCACTCCCTGTACAATGCATGTTAATAACACGTACACCGATCAGCAACAACATCAAAACCACTGACAGGTGAAGTGAATAACAATGATTCTATCGTTACAATGCCATCTGTCAAGGCATGTGATATATTAGGCAGCAAGTGAACAGTCACCTCTTGAATTTCATGAGTTGGAAGCAGCAAAAATGGGTAAGCGAAAAGATCTGACTAACTTTAACAAGGGCCAAAACGTGATGGCTAGATGGCTGGGTCAGAGCAGGGCCGGGGGGAGCAAGATTCAAATGGAAGGAGGGAAGTGCACTGCGCTCCTTCCTGCTAGTCATTCAGTAGTGCCATCTCCCATCCCTTAGTGCCATCTCCCATCCATTCCCTGTTGTGTCTCCTACCTCTTTGTAGCGTGGCCGAGCAGCGCGGACTGTGGTACAGGAGCTATCTGTACCCGTCCAAACTGAAAGGAAGTGCTCTCTCAGTAAGGAAACAGAAGCTCCTGTACCGCGGTCTGCACCGCCGGGCCACGCTACAAAGAGGTAGGAGACACAACAGGGAAGGGATGGGAGATGGCACTAAGGGACACTGGGGGGGAGGAGAGACCACTAAGGGACACTGGGGTGGGGGAGGAGACTCAGGAGAGAGCACTAAGGGACACTGGGGAGGGAGGAGAGACCACTAAAGGACACTTGGTGTTGGGGGAGGAGAGACCACTAAGGGACACTGGAAGGGAGGAGAGACCACTAAGGGAAAGATGGGGGGAGTAGAGGCCACTGAGGGAAAGGTGGGGGGAGTAGGAGAGACCACTAAGGGAAATGTGGGGGGGAGGAGAGACCACTAAGGGACACGGGGGAGGAGAGACCACTAAGGGACACTGTGCGGGGGGGACAGACCACTAAGGGACACTGAGGGGGAGGAGAGACAACTAAGGGACACGGGGGGGGAGAGACCACTAAAGGACACTGGGGGTGAGCTTCCTGTACCCATCCGAACTGAAAGGAAGTGATCTCTAAGTAAGGAAACAGAAGCTCCTGTACTGTGGTGTGCACCGCCGGGCCACGCTACAAAGAGGTAGGAGACACAACAGGGAAGGGATGGGAGATGGCACTAATGGACACTGGGGGGGGGGAGGAGAGACCACTAAGGCACACTGAGGTGGGGGAGGAGAGACCACTAAGGGACACTGAGGAGGGAGGAGAGACCACTAAGGGACACTGGGGCTTGGGGGAGTAAGACACACAAAGTGGTTGGGAGGATGTAGGATCCATACAAAGTGGGGGGGGCGGGGGTAAGAGACACACAAGGGGCTTGTAAGAGATACACTAAAGGGGAGTGTAAGGCACAAAACTTAAATAAAATAAATGCAAAAAAAATAATACTAACAAATAAATATAATAATAAAAATAAAGAGCTGCTCCTCTCTCAGCCCCTATCTCTCTTTCACACTACACACATAGACAATGCATCCTTACACATACACAGAAACACACATGCACAGAATGCATCCACAGACACACTGAAACATACAATGCATCCTACACTCACACTCACACAGAAACACAGCATGCTTCCCACAAAGAAAACACACAATGCATCCCTTACACACAATTCAGCCCTTGCACACATACACAAAAGCACACAATGCATCCCTTACATACACACACACACTGCTTCTCTTAATGCATATTTTACACACACTCAATGCACCCCTTACAGGCACACACTGCATTACATTACATACATAGAAACAAACCTTTCATCCCTTACACATACAAACACAGATTCACACAATGCACCCCTTACACATACACAGACACACACTGCATCCCCTATACACACCGACTACATCCATTACACAAACTGGTATCCCTATACATTCCATTCCATAAGAACACACATATTACATCCTCTATAATAACACATAACGCATCCCCTACACACATACACTCCACTCCCTGTGAGCGAACTCATGGGTGGACCTTGTAGGCATCAGGCTTATGGGTGGGCCTTGTAGGCATACTCACGGTCAGGCCCTGGGTGCCCAGACCGTGATCTATGTAAGGGGCCCCCAAAAATGGAGCTGCTTCCTGTTCGTTGTTATTGTGAACACTGCCTCCAGAGAGCCTGTTTTAACACCAGACCAGTGGAGTCAGACTGCAGCCTGAGCCCATCATCATCCTCTTGTCCTCATCTGTTGGTAAGTTGGCAATCCAGTATATTACTAGTGGCACTAATCCCTAATTTACCTCAAATTAAAGGGACAATATAGTCACCAGAACCCTCTACAGCTTAATGTAGTTGTGCTGGTGTCTATAGCCTGTCTCTGCAGGCTTTTTAATGTAAACACACTGCCTTTTAAGAAAAAAGACACTGTGTGCAGCACTGGCGTTGGCCCTTATGGCAGATCATATGGGTGGGACAATGTGATGGGGGAGGGGGGAGCAAATTTTTGTTTGCCTAGGGCGGCAAAAATCTTTGCACCAGCCCTGGGTCAGAGCATCTCCAAAACGACAAGACTACCAAAAGTGGTGCAAGGAAGGACAACTGGTGACTCGGCATCAAGGCTCATTGATGCACGTGGGGAGCGAATGCTAGCCCGTCTGGTCTGATCACACAGAATAGCTACTGTAGCTCAAATTGCTAAAAAGAAATGCTGGCCATGATAGAAAGGGGTCAGAACATACAGTGTAAGCAGTTTGCTGCATTTGGGTTAGCATAGCCACAAACCGGTCAGAGTGCCATGATGACCACTGTCCACGACTGAAAGCGCTTTCAATGGGGGCTTGAGCCTCAGGAAGGCTAGACGTCGAAATGTTGGAGTTGTATTATCGCCTGCTTTAGGTCAGTGTGCCTGCATTGTTAGGGGCTTATGGGTTTCAAATTTGAGGACTTACTATTGTGTATAAATTGGTTATGGGTATGTTATCAATTGTTTACATGCCTGAACTGTTTTTTGCACGTTCTTTGTATAACTTGTATTAATCCACTGTATGAATAAAAATCTTTTTATGCGCAAATTTACTCTGGTGTGCTTTGGTTTATTTTCTACTCTGACTGTGCTTCGTTTACCTGGGGAAGAGATGGCAGAAGGATGCCCTGTTGGAAGAAAGCAAATTTCAAGAGAACAAATTCAGAGGGCAAATCAGATGGATAATGCAATTAAAAAGCAATTACAAAAAATAATTAAAATAAAATATTACATACATTATAATCAATCTGTGAATATATCTTTGGAATTCATATTCAACCAAATACAATATAAGTGTTAAGACCTGCAGTGGTTATGGTACTGTGGTCTTCTATTCCTTCCACATTAGCTGAGCATAAGTGATTATAACTGCAGTAGGAGGTAGAGGAATAGTGTAGATGAATGCAGCTTCCAAGATGATTCTCCCCAGCAAATAGAATATTCCCCAAACATGAGCCTAGACTTCATGAAGGGTGTCACAGGAATGATGTTTATTGATGACACACTGGCTTTTATGAGAAATCCTCCTGCAAGAGGACCTCCGACAGTAAACAAAGACAATAACCCATCAACATACAGCTATACAGTAACCCCCGCCCTCTCTCTGCCTGAGAGATATTGAGATAAGTTAAGGAATAACCCAATTATCTCCAGGCAGAGGGCACACAATTTTCCCAAAAGTTAGAACACCCCTTTCCACACAAGGTATCCCCCCGATTTGGGGGACCAACATATCCAAATTTCACCCAGATCGGTTCAGGGGTTCTTAAAAAGTATGGAAGTCACAAGTTACCGACCACACACGAGACTCCTGCCCAAAACAGTTCCACGAATTCAGCGTGTGCGGTCGGTCAATTCAGAAAAAGGCATAAAACGAATAGAAGTCCCGAATGGATCCTCCTGGCTCATAGGAGCGATTGCTCCTCTTGTCTGTATGAACAAAACTATCGAATGGCACTCTCCTGGCTGTTCGGCAACTAAAGGAAGCAGGCGTTCGGTAGTTTCAGCATTGGTTCGGGAGGTCGCATGTCCGATTTTAGTTCCAGACACTCAACGACCAAGTCCCGCTTCCTCCTTTCGTGCAAACAAGATGGCCGCCGTTTTCTGTTCCACGTGGCATTCGGCTATACGAACAACGGCCGCCCAGAGAGCGCTTAACCCCTTAAGGACCAAACTTCTGGAATAAAAGGGAATCATGACATGTCACACATGTCATGTGTCCTTAAGGGGTTAATAGATGGTTCTTTTGAAGTTAATGAACCAATAGATTCAACATGTACAAAATACTGCAGAAAAAGCCAAAGCATAGGAGAAAATACCAAACTAAGTCTATTTTCTTCACAATAAGTAATTAAGAGATAGTGCTCGCTCATTTAGCTTATGTCACACAACTCCTCTAGGCATCCTAATATGCGCTCTGAGCTGTTTCAGTCCTTTAAATTGTACGTGATCTTGCATATGAGTTCTGCTTATTGACCAAATAGGACTTAAAGGGACACTGTAGACACTGTAACCATTTTATCTCATTGAATTAGTTATAGTACCTGGAGTCATCTGACACACTCCCACCATTCAGTGTTAAACCATTCAGTGTTAAACCATTTCAGAGAAAGTTAACACTAAATGAGGGGCCCTGCCCACCCACCGCCTGACCACTCCATACACCTGGAGGTATGCTAAGACGGAGATTACACACTTCCTTGTACCCACACCAATACATACCAGCAATGGGCACTGTGGTAGGGTGAATGAGGTCAACTGGCACTCTCAGCCAATCACAGCTGCCTCATTAGCCCAAGCTGCACATAGGGGTTGGGTTGCTGGGGACTCTTGTTTAGCATTAAAATATAAAAAAACGGTTCAATCTGCTGTGCTTGCTATTTGTGGATAGCAGAAGGACAGCCTGTGAGAGGTATTTTCTGCTCTTCCTTGTCAGTTAGAGTCTATGCCAAAGATATGACTAACAGGTGGGAGAAAGACCTATTTTTTAAAGTAGATGTTACCTCTGACACTAAAACGTTTGTGCACACTATCTACATGCTGTGTTAGACCATCTTGATTTAGCTTTACATACATACTACATTGGTTAGTTTAAACTCTTCCTTTGTATGTCCCTTCCCCATGCAGTGCTTGGCTATCTTATCTGGTAAGTGTTGTACCAGCATGAGACATATATGGTAATTATGTGACGATTCCAATCTGCCGGGTCACCAGTCGCAGTGTTCTGTGCTTTAATCACAGGTATCTCCATTCTGCCATGTTCCCCCCCAATTTTGTGTTACCATTTTTACTGACCCTAAATTTTACTAATGACTCCAATATCTCTGTAAGTATAATTGATATATATACTGTTTGATATCCCCATTCTATAATGGTAAAGTGCTGTGGTAAATGCTAATAACAATATTAATGGCGATATTAATGAGGCAATGACCTTGTCATTTTAGTTTAACCCAGTAGAACCCCCTATATTGCCTGTGTAGGTAGCAATACTCTTTCCTTATCATTATGACTGTCCTCAGAATGACTGGTTCTGCTGGTTTAGTAAAAGTTACTGTTCTTAGAATATCATTTGACTGTAAGACAAATAAACAGTTGGGACCTTTTAAGGCGATCAATGTTTGGAAATTCATTGACTGTGCTTAGAGTGTTAGCCTCTTCTAATTAACCACAGGTCTTCATGCACTCCCCCAATGTCCACCTTCCCATCATTATTGATTATTATAATTTAAAGGGATACTCTAAACATCATAACAACTATTACTCACTATGGTTACAGTGAAAGAAATCTTGAGCTGCTGTACCACCATCTATTGTCAAACAAATTTTTAGTAGTTTGACAAAAATGAGGCTCTCCTAGCATGCAAAGCATGTTCCCTCACCTCATTGCTCAGTTAAAACATCTTCATTTAATGCTTCTTTTAAACCCCCTCTTTGATTTCTTACCCCCTTTTGTGTTCCCTACACCCTACTTTTAAATGTATTGCCACCTTTACTGAATCTTATTCCCTTTGTGTGTCTTACATACCCGTTGAGTGTCTTTTACACTCTTCAGAAGGATATTGATACCTTAGAGAGGGTTCAGAGAAGGGCTACTAAACTGGTTCATGGATTGCGGGATAAAACTTACCAGGAAAGGTTAAAGGATCTTAACATGTATAGCTTGGAGGAAAGACGAGACAGGGGGGATATGATAGAAACATTTAAATATATAATGGGAATCAACACAGTAAAGGAGGAGACTATATTTAAAAGAAGAAAAACTACCACAACAAGAGGACATGGTCTTAAATTAGAGGGACAAAGGTTTAAAAATAATATCAGGAAGTATTACTTTACTGAGAGGGTAGTGGATGCATGGAATAGCCTTCCAGCTGAAGTGGTAGAGGTTAACACAGTAAAGGAGTTTAAGCATGCGTGGGATAGGCATAAGGCTATCCTAACTATAAGATAAGACTAGGGACTAATGAAAGTATTTAGAAAATTGGGCAGACTAGATGGGCCGAATGGTTCTTATCTGCCGTCACATTCTATGTTTCTATGTTTTACAACCCCTCTTGTGTGCCTTTTTCTTCCATCTAGTCCCTTTGTGTGCCTTTCACCCCCAGCCCCTTTGTGTGCCACTATATCCCCATAGCCCCTTTGTGTGTCTCTTACCAACCAGCCCTTCAGTGTTTCTATTTATCCCCCTAGCCTATGTGTGTGTCTCTTTCTCCTCCCCAGCCACTTTGTCTGTCTCCTACTTCCCCCCAGCCCTTCGGTATGTCTCTTTCTCCCCCCCCCAGATCCTCTGCGTGTCTCTCCTTCAACCCCTCTCTTTGCCCCATCCCCTTTCTGTGTCTCTTTCTCCCCCTAGCCCCTCTGGGGGTCTTTTCCCCCAGCTCCTATGTGTGTCTCTTTTCCCCTTCCCCAGCCCCTTTTATGTATCTCTTTCTCTACATCCCCTGTGTATTTTTCCCCATCCCTTCTGGGTGTGTCTCCCCTCCCCAGTTCCAAGCTTGGAATTACATACATGTGATATTTTTTTTACTATTGTGTGTATATGCATTTTTTCTTTTTCCCCAGCTTGCAAAGACATGCAATCTTCTGGACTGATTTCCGGGACAGATACCTCCCATACCTCACATTCACAAAGCCACAGCAGCACTACAGAGAGGAAAACAGGCAATCTAAACATCAGTCTTGACGTGCAAGATAAACTAGTTACAAAAACATGTAAGGTTCTTCAACAGTTGAACTTGTATATATCTTGCGTGCATTTTCTGTTTGCCATTTTAAGTTAACTCATAACCTTTTAAAACATACAAGCTTAGTTGTGTAAGCAGTTTTTAAGCAGATTTACGAAAAAATACCCATAGTGCGTCACCCTTTACAGGATATTGCAGTTTTTCCATGCTAGGTGTTTACTTTCCCTTAATCCTTATTTTAGAGTCCAGACTTAAACTGTTTTTACACATCAGTTTTTACTCATGCCCATGAAAACAGCTTTTATCTCTATATTCAGCTGTATTTAAACTGCAAGCAATTTTAATATGTGGCATGTGCAGCTTAAAGGGATACTATAGTGCCAGGAATACAAAACTGTATTCCTGGCACTATAGCTCCCTCTGCCTCCACCCTCCCTCGCGTTGAATTTATTATTATTGAATTATTATTTACTTACCTGATCCTGGTGCTAATGTCCCTAGAGGCTGTATTAGTGCTGCAATGGTAAACATTGCAGTTTCTCTTAAACTGCAATGTTTTACATTGCAGCACTAAGTGCAATGGGGACACTGTACCCAGACCACTTCAATGAGCTGAAGTGGTCTGGGTGCCTATAATGTCTCTTTTAATAGAGATTTAAAGGAACCTCTGTACAACGTAACCATTACAGCCTGCTGTTCTGGCACTTTCCCAAGATAAGTAGTTAAAACTTTGTCTTCATACCTGGGGTCCGCTTGCCAAATAGACTACACTTTATTGCAGTGCTGTTCATGCCACGGGTTTGGGTACATCCCCCCTGTCTTCTGTCAAACAATTATGGAACAGTTTGGGAAAAAAATCAGAATATTTACCTTTTAAGGGAAATCTGCTGAACAGTTGATTCAAGTCATAACTATTATTTTATTTTTCAATTGCATGTAACGGAGGCAGCCTTGGCTATAGCTCTGCAGAACCTGTATAGGAACGATATGCACGTGGATGGAGAGGAGGCCGCAGGAGTCCTCGCTGCTGCATTTTTGTTGCAGTTTCCAGCTCTTTTCCAGGAGTGAGTAGAACATTATGAAATCTTTCAAAGTCGTATAACCAATGTCTTAAATCAGAAAATCTACATGTACCATAATATGTTTCCTGTCTATGCAATACTGACCACACAAGATATTTTTGTAAATCTTTATTTATGGTTTTTCAGGGAACAAGAACATGAGAGGTGAACAAAGTAGGCACACAGGCCTCACAGTAATAACAGTGACAGGAATTTAGATGCATACATTTGCTACAATACTTGTCGCTTACATATTTCCAATATCTAATGTTGTAGAGTGATTTCTAGTTAATCTTTTTTCTTGCAAGATTTTGTTGTTTTGTAAGAAGTAACAGACAAGGGAGGGAGCGCGCAGGCTCCTAGTTGGTTATGAAAGCTTAATCAATGGAGTACATACGTGAAAATCGAGCATACTATAATGAGCATGAACATAATTCAGGCTTGGCTGAAGTCAGTTAGTGAGCTGTGCAAAGTGCCCTACCCTGAGTGTCGGTGGGTTGGCCCAGGAGATATAAGGTAGGTGAAATAAACTAGTGACTAAGCTAGCCCCTGTGTGTGTAGACCTCCTTTAGAATTTATAGCGTATCGAGTGAGGATGGCCCTTGTGTGGTCCGCTCCTCGTATGGTTGTCAGTTATCTCATTTCGTCCCCAAAGTGTGTAGGGTCAGAGAGTTTCATTGCTATGGTGTGGTCAATAACTCTATTCCTCCGGTGGGAAAGTCCCAAAGGCTTATATGTCTGTGTGGGAGCCTCTACGCCTTATGATAGGGCTTTTCTAGGGGCAGGCCACGTGTCTCACCACAGTCCTCTGTCAATGTAAGTCTAGACACTATGTGGTAAGCCGCCACCGATTGATATGTTGTGTTGAAGGGGTATTAAGGGGCTCGGGATGGGTGAATTGTGCGTCAGTCCCCACATAGCTCTCCATGTCTTGAGAGTATGTGCGGCGGGAAATGTCGCTGTTACTCCAACCAGTGGTTCAGATCTTCCCATCCAGACCGCCGCGTGCATCAATGCGTTGGTTCCTCCCCAATTTACTGAGGTCCACTGTTGGTTTGTGCAAGCCGAATGCCAGTCGATTATTGTTGTAGTGTCGCAGCTTGGTGATATTTTTTGAACTCCGGGAGGGCTAGTCGCCCCCATTGTCCTGGCAGGCATAGCAGGTCATGTCGGAGTCTAAATTTCTCATCCCTCCAGACATAGCGGATCACTGTGGCTTTAGTGAAGAAATTAATGATTTGGGTGGTGAAAGAGGCACTGCTTGGAATAGATAGGGGAATCTTGGCAGGATGTTCATTTTGAGAACCGCCACCCGGCCTAGTCAGGATAAGTGCAGATAAGACGATCGACGGAGATCCCCTAATATGTTTCGTAGTAGAGGCATAAAGTTAGATTGGTACAGATCGGCCGGATTCTCTGTGACATTCAGTACTTCACATTTTGTGAGATTCAGCTTAAGGCCGGATAAGTTCCCGTATTCTTTGAATTCTTTCAACAGGCATGGCACAGTGATGCGTGGTCTGGTTATGAAGAAGAGGAGGTCGTCCACGTAAGCGGCCACCTTGGGTTCGGTTTTCTTTCCAAGGGTATCCTGTGATGTCTCGGTTTTGCCACACTGCAATGAGGAATGGCTCAAGTGAAACTGCGAATAGCAGGGGCGAAAGGGGGCATCCCTGTCTTGTCCCATTGAGGATCAGGAAACTTGTTGTTAATGCCCCATTGATTCTAACCTTTGCATTGGGTCTGATGTACAGGGCAGCAATCCAGTTTTTCAGTTTGGTGCCGAGGCCCATTGCTGTCAGGGTGGCGAACATGAAGGCCCAATTAACTTGGTCGAACACCTTCTCGGCGTCTGTGGAAAGAAGTAGCATGTGTTTCTTGTGAGTGCGTGCTAGGTGTTGCAGCGCTAGAAGGCGAAGAAGGCGTTGTCTCTAGCCTCCCTACCTGGGATAAAACCCATTTGGTCTGGGTGAATAAGGTCTGGTATGTGCATCTGCATCCTAGTTGCTAGTGTTTTCGTGAGGAATTTGACATCCGGATAAAGGAGTGACATTGGTCTGTAACTGCTGCAGGATTCAGGGTCTTTGTCAGGTGTTAGTAGTACTGTGATTGTTGCGGCCAGGGATTCTTTATGAAAACCTCCTCCTTCCGGGATCGTATTCAAGGCTTTTGTCAATCTCGGAGTTAGGATATGTGTGAATGTTTTGTAGTATGCGGTGGAGAAGCTGTCCAGTCCGGTGGCTTTTCCGGCTTTGGCAGCCTTTATTGCGGCGTTGATCTCCTCTTCTTCAAGTGGCGCGTCAAGTGAGTCGGCTGTGTCTCTAGAGATCTTGTTAGGGTGGTGTTTATTTGGTATGCCTTGATCTTGTAGGGTTGTTCTGAGTCTGTGGTGTGGGTGGGATCCCCTGTGGCTTTGTATAGTGTGGAGTAGAATACTTGGAATTCACTAGCGATGTCTTGTGGGAATTAGGAGGTACCTCCTGAGGATAGTTTAAGTTTGTGGATCTGAGTGCTTTGAATAGGTCCCCTAAGCATATGGGCCTTTGTTAGCGTGAGTGTACAAAAATCCTTTGGATGCAGCGGAGATGTTTGCTTGTCACAAGATTTGTCAGTGTGCGTCTTGCCTTCATCATGGCCGTATATACCGATTCCAAGCATGAGCGTTTATGTTGGGTCTCTAGGTTGGCTATGATGTTCGTGACCTCCACGAGTTGTTGTGTCGCTTCTTTCTTTTTTTTGGTTGTTAGACCTATCAGGCATCCCTGTAACGGATTTACATGTCAGATGCCGGAAGGCACAAAAGTCTAAGGTGTCCCCACTCTCCAAAATAAGTTTTGATTAATATTTTTGCTAGACATTGCAAGCTTAAAAACATATTTTTAAAAAATTAATATTTGACAACTGCATATATATAAATGTATTTATGTACGTGCATATTTCTGCTCTTCTTGAACTGTACTGTGTTTAAATCTGTGAGTATAGTGAATGTGCGCTGCTGTGTAACTGCACATAGGTTAAAGTGACAATATAGGCACCCAGACCACTATGCTCATTGAAATGATCTAGGTGCACAGTCCCTGTCACCCTGTTACCTAACCCTAATTATAACCTTAAAGGAACACTATAGGGTCAGGAACACAAACATGTATCCTGACCCTAAGGGAGGGGAATTAAGGCCATTTACAGATACTACCACCTGTGACGAAGAATACAGTGCCTTAAAATAACAATTAAATAACTCACTTCTAATCCAGTGATATTTTAATACATGGGCCATATATTCCCACAAAGAATTAATTTTTTAAAAGACTACTTTTGACATAAAACTGTCATAAAACTTTCACCGTGCACCTCCATTAAAATCTTAGCGTGGTTTGTTTTTTCCATTAGCTTCATTCTTTACATTTCATTTATCTGCAATGTCTCAGGAGTCATTAGAGTTACTGCTGGTTAGGACCTCACACTGCATGTGTCCACTCCACGTCGGAGTTGGACAGAGTGCAGAAGAGGAGTTTAAATTTTCTCGTATTAGAGCAATATCATTGTTTTTTTTTCTGCAGGTGTGTGCTAAAAATGAGGAGTGGGATTTCTGAAACAAACGTTTGCTTATATTACAGCGCCGCCTGCAAGGTAAGATTCACGGTATCAGTTTCACATCGATGGAAAGTTTTAAAACATATTCCCAATAATCAGGCTTTTCCTGTACCACAAGAGGAGTCTTCAGTACTCTAAAGGCAATATTTTTTTCACCTTAGTACAAACAGTACGCGCTCATTCAGGCCTGCGAAGAATGGCTTCTACTAAATCTAGTGCCGAAGCTTGGTTCAAACATCATGCTGCGCGATCTTCCATATGAGCTGTTGCTGAGACTGCTGAAATCCCACAGGTCTGCTAATACACTATTTTCACAATACATTAAACGGGGGGTTAGAGATGAAGAAAAAATCTGAAGCCAAGTTCTAAAAACGGTTCCTGCCATTTGTTCCAATTGAATTTTTTGGGGTTTGGATTCCCTTTAAACCCTCTATGTGTCTTTAAGCATATTGCAATATTTGGGCAGACTAGATGGGCCGAATGGTTCTTATCTGCAGTCACATACTATGTTTCTATATTTAACTATCTCCTTCTTTCACAGGCTCTTTACCTACAGTGAGTACAGACTACTTAGAACTGTTCTGTATTGGGTGTACTTACAGCAAAACCGTACTGTACAAATTGTGCCAAATTCCCACCATGTCCTAAATTATTTCAAAAGGTGAATGCAACTCTATTTATTACATCTAGGAATTATTTCATGTGTTCCATTTGCATTCCATTTGTATTCTAGTATATGTTAAATTTCATCTTAGGTTTTTATGGAAGCACATGAGTGATTATTTGTATACACTTTCAATAATAGTTTTTCACACAGGGTTGTTTCAATCTCACCAGGGAACTGGCTCAATCAGTTAGGAAAACCTCTCATTTTAGTCTATGCTTTAATTAACTTTCCCAAAACCCCTTGTCCAACAGACGTATATTGATTAAATAGTTCAGCCCCACTGCCAATCATTACATAGTCTGAATGGAAGTGGTAAACTGCTCAATAAACTGTTAGCACCAATACCATGGCTGAATCAACATAGGAACCAAAGACAATCTGAGGGGGGACAGCCTTTTATAATAACACTGGCCCCACATATGGCCTTAAAGGACCACTCTAGGCACCCAGACCACTTCAGCTTAATGAAATGGTCTGGGTGCCAGGTCCAGCTAGGGTTAACCCATTCTTTTATAAACATAGCAGTTTCAGAGAAACTGCTATGTTTATGAATGGGTTAAGCCTTCCCCTATTTCCTCTAGCGGCTGTCTCATTGACAGCCGCTAGAGGCGCTTGCGTGCTTCTCACTGTGATTTTCACAGTTAGAGCACGCCAGCGTCCATAGGAAAGCATTGATAATAGGGTGGGTGGGGGCACCCTCAGGGCACTATAGTGCCAGGAAAACGAATATGTTTTCCTGGCACTATAGTGGTCCTTTAAATCAAAACCAGATGTTCTGTGGGGATCTGTGTCTCCTTTACCGTTAGTTCCTACACTCATACGTTGCTGCTACCACTTCATATACAGCCCAATTCAAGCTGTGGCAATAATTTCACAAACTGCTGACAGAAGATGCGTATATGACCACAGTAAGCTATCACCAGAGCTGGAAAGAATTGTCCATCCAACAGAGTTATCCACTAAAGTGAGAATTGTCAGGAATTTAGAGTGAATTCAAAGTAAATTTCAAATTTTAGACCAAAATTGCAATTCCATTAACTGGAAGCTTTGCTGACTTGGAGAATTTTTCAAATTGACAATTTTGGCCTTAAATTTGGAATTCACTCTAAATTCCTGACAATTCTCACTTTAGTAAATAACCCTGCCAGTTGTGCATGAGTATTTTCATGCACACCATATGCATAAATTGTTTGAATCTTTAAAAGTAAGACTACGAGTAAAATTCATCCTTTGATGTCACTGAATTATGTTACGAATTCTAAACCACTCTGTGCAGGTAGACAGGGAGCAAGGTCTTCTCTGCACCACATATTTTGCAATGATGTAAGCCAGGGTTGCCCAATAGGTAGATATCTAGATATTTTAAAACTACAGCTTCCATGCTGCTTTGTCATTCTAAAGGCGTGCAAAGCATCATGGGAGTTGTAGTTCTACAAGATCTGGAGATCTATCTTCTGGGCACCCCTGATGTAAACTTTTTAAGGTCCTTATAGTAATTCTTTAACTTGCCTTCAGTCTGTTTTCTGTAGCCTAGGAAACACAGAAACTTTATATTTATTATTTCAGTTGCTTGGTGATGTAATTCCATATACAGAGGCTCTTTATATCTCTATTATTATTTTTTTCATACGTCTGTCCATTCTCTTTCTGCTGGGGTATCTCATGTTCATATCCTTCTGATACCTGCACCTCTCTGAAACTATAGATTGTGTTAAGTATTTAATTCAATACACTAGCAGAATATGATATATTGAATATGAGTTCATTTTTCATACATTATTATTATTTTTATTTTTGTTAGCTTTCCCAAACATTGTGCCTTCCTCCAGCAAGCACACGGTGAGCAATACATAGCTTTGTTCCAGTCTCTACGTCTGCACGGCATTACAGAGAGTGAGTGTATCTTATTACTTCACATTTAGCCCAATAATAGGAATATTAGAGAGAGAAACCTTGCCAGTAATTCTTTGTTAAGTGAAAAATAGGGCTATACGCTGGAAAGGATCTGACAACACTTACCATTTCATCATAGACATGTGCAAGGGGTGTGCTGTGTGTGTCCAGGCCTACAGTGAGCAGGGCTCTCGCTACCATAAGGGGGTACAGGTTGCCACCTTAGGATGCACTGGCCCAGAGTGCACAATTTACAGGTGACAGGCAGGACAAGGGTATGCAGAGCTTCCCGCTAGTCACTTTACTTTGTGTTGCCTTCTGGACCAGAGAAGTGGATATTTTGACACTCAACTGTTTGCTGGAGGGGAATTAAAAGCACGCAGAAACTTTCTGTCAGATCAGCTAGAAAAATACCCTCTACTGCAGTCCATGAGGTCACCCTAGAGACAGTGTGAGAGAGAGCCGCAAAAAAACACAGGGGCTTGAGAGATACAAAGGTGGAGAGACACAAAAGCAAGACAAGCGGTGATAAGAGATACGCACGGATGGTAAGTGATAGAAGAGGGGCAAAACAGGGATAATATACACTAAAGAGGGGTAAGACCTTCGATAGGGAGGATAAGAGGCAAATAAAGGGTTAAAAGACCACAAAAAAGATATAAAGACCCAAAAACAGCAATGACAATGATAAAAAACGATATACAGTCCTCAAAAGAGGGAAACAAATACACAAAATTGGGGTAAGATTCACAAAAAGGGAGGTTGAGAGACACAGGCCTAAACAGGCACAGACTCATTATGGGGGGTAGGTGGGTGGCAAATGGCAAAAATGATTTTCGCCTGTGTAGCCAAAACTCCTTGCACCAATTTGTCCTGTCTCCTATTTAAGATGAGAGACTGACAACTATTTTCAGACAATGTTATCATTATAAAGCTGTATTAATATTGTTTGAATACTTCTGTACTATTTGTGATTGTGGTTTGAAGGCACACTCAAAGCACCATAACCATTACAGTGCATTTTAGAGGTTATGGTGCAAGGAGTGCCCTGACTCCTCCCCAAATGTAAGTAGCCAAACTTTTTCCTTCTACTAGAGGTTTGACTACCCTTAATAGGGCCATCATGGCAGTCCTGGTACCATAACCACTACAGCACGCTGGTTGTGGTGCTTAAAGTGTTCCTTTAGACACAATATTTTATAACACATTTATAATACATTTTATACTACGAAAATACTGTATTAGGAAGATAATTTCCAAGATAGTGACAGTTTGTTACAATTGGTTTGCCATTTCTTGGTGACAATATTCATGGAACACTGTTCTGAACTGAATATCCAGTGTGGCATGAAATAAATAATTTCTAACTTTGCAGATCACATGGATAATAAATGGTCTACTGCTACTGTGTAACCAGTGTGTCAGTGAGTAGTAGTGTGACAGTTGTAGTGTGACATCATCTGTAGTGGTACAGGTTGATCATCTGGCTCACTAGATACACCCATTGAATCAAAACTGGGGATAAATTAGCATTATAGACAGAATTCTTAAAAAAAAAAAAAAAGCCGGAAGTGCTAAGAAGGTTTATGTTAGTAGTTTACAGTATTCCTAGAGACATCAACTATTCTTTGAATAAATGTCCATCAGCCTTCATGATATGGCTGAGGGTTTATGTTAAACTTTTGCTGCTTTTTTTGTACACAAACACTTGACATTCACTGCAATGTGGGACTGTCTTACAGATAAACAGATAGAAGTGATCACACAGATAAATATCTTACCCCCGGACTGGATGATCCAGCTCCTCTTCAACCACTGTGAAGCTGTGAGTCTTTATTTTTACACAAGGATAAAGCTGAACTGTTACAAGCTGTTACTGTTATCACTGTCTAGAAGTGTCAATCTCCCAGCCGTGACCAGTGATGGCTACAGAGATCTTAGCTGTGTCTGTGGAGGATGTGGGATCTTCCATAGACATCAATGCTGTACTCTTGTACATGCCTGCATGATGCCTGACGCCACCTCTAGTAGCTGTCACTAGATAAACTTCCTCGGTTAGGTTCTGCAAAGAATGAGTCAACGCATCTCTGTAAGGAGTGTGGCGATTTCCTGTGCATGCTCACTAGCTTCCAAATGCTTTCCCGTGGCAAAGTATTGGATTGGCTGAAATCTACAGGATTCATGATCTCAGCCATCAAAGGAGGGCGGCCACAAGGAGTCCTGAGCACCCTTTTTAAAAAATGATTTTGGGAGGAAGGACAATAATCTACATTGTCAGCATAAGGCAGCCGTGGGCAGCCTTCAGCACTCCTGATACTGTTCACTACATCTTGCCTCAATCTTTGCTAGCATTATGGGAGATGTAGTCCAGCATTATGGTAAATGTAGACCACTGGAGTGCCTAAGGTTGCCTACCCCTAATATAACACTATAGTTTTAGGGAATAGGGATATGTTTGTATTCCCTATGCTATAGTGATCTTTAGAGTGATAAATATAGACACACCAATGCAAATATTTACAAGTGAATTATAATATGCACCACACTGAACCTTATTAGGCATTTTAGATGATTTAAGATATTTAACACATATTTTACAGCTGAAGAATGGAGGAGAACTATATGATCTCGTGGATTTTAACACACAGGCTGTCCGATTTGGGTTAATTGTGAACAAGGTATGGCATGTTGGGAAATGTACTGATAAACTGTTGTGTGAAAGAATAGTGATCAGTGAGGACTTATACCACCTGTGTATATGTCCTTATAACAGACACTAAAAATCTTTTGGTGGAAAACGATTCAAAATCGGAAAAAAACTAAATAAAAATGATACATGTGTTATATTTCTAATTTGCAAATACCTTATTTCTATCAGCAAACTTATAGTTCAATTATTCATTATACCTAAATAAATATATAAATAAGATACACTGTTTTTGTACAAAATTTAATTTTAGTTGCATAAATTGTTATTAGGAAGTTACTGATAATTTCCCAGAGTAGGGAAACCACCCCTGGTTACACCCCCACTCACACTCCTAAAATTAATGTGTCCTTATTTTCCATTTAAAACATTGGGTGGTGTAATTAGGAAAGGGACTTTTGGGACTAGCTCAGAGTACTGCAGCAATTACTAAGGGATAACACTTCCCAACCTGTGATGAAAGGGAGGCTTCATGCACAGAGCTTCAGACAAAATGGTTTTATTTCTGTACTTTTAAATCAAAAGTGAATAAGATTGTACAAATACACCCTGCTCCCGTGCCCTCTGAAGTGAAATTCTAAATTAAATAGACTGTGAGTTAAAGGAAGTGTAAACATTAGATGACTCTTTACAGGAAGAGCTCATGAAGGTTGCATGTTTAATGCAGGGAGGAGTGACTAGAGTTGCATAAAAAAAAGTTATTAAACTCCTAAATAAAGGTATACAACTAAGAATAAATGTACCTGGAATCTAATGCTGGCTTCCATGCCTATGTCCAACATCACAGCCTCCATCGCACAGTCCAATCAAATGCTTCTCCTAAAGGAGTGGGGTTGGACAAAGAGTGGGAGGGAGGGGCAAAAAAACATAGGGAGACAAGGAGAATGTGAATGAAAGAAGTAAGGGAGGAAAAGAAGATCAAGCATCACCTTTTAGATACTGCCTGCAAGGGAGAAGCTCATTACATCTGTTACCAGCTGCTGTGTGCGCTGATGACAGGTCTATTTTTTGCCAGAATTAATATTGGGTAGAAAACAGGAAAAGAAGGTGTAGCGCCTGAAGTGTCCTTTTGGTAAAAAAAAAAAAAAAAAGGAAATACAAAAAAGACTGATAGTATAGTTAATAACATCTTGATAGAGTAAGGAAAATAAAAACAATGTACACTTACACTTTCAGAGAGCTTAAAGGATCAATATAGGGTCAGGAACACAAACATGTATTCCTGACCCTATAGGGTTAAAACCACCATCTAGCCCCCCTGGGCTTCTCATGCCTCTATAAAATGTAGTAAATCTTACTTGTATTCAAGCCTGCAGTTTCATGATTGGTCTCGGTTTCCCTTAGACCTGCCCACTGCCTGCTGACATCATCAGAAGTGGTGGCCTGATCCAATCACAATGCTTCCCCATAGGATTGGCTGAGACTGACAAAGAGGCACATCGGGGCAGAGCCAGCATGATTCAAACACAGCCCTGGCCAATCAACATCTCCTCATAGAGATGAATTCATTCAATGAATCTCTATGAGGAAAGTTCAGTGTCTGCATGCAGAGGGAGGAGATACTGAATGTTTGGATGCATTTTAGGCAGCCATGACCCAGGAAGGCTCTCTAACAGCTATCTGAGGAGTGGCCAGTGAAATTATCACTAGGCTGCAATGTAAAAACTGCATTTTCTCTGAAAAGACAGTGTTTACAGCAAAAAGCCTGAAGGGAATGATTCTACTCACCAGAACAAATTCAATAAGCTGTAGTTGTTCTGGTGACTATAGTGTCCCTTTAAATACAGCTCTGACTTGCACGACTAGGCTGAATAATCCCCTCCTATGGATATATTGTGGTACAGATTCTTCAAGTTATCCATATAGCGATGGGTATCCTCATAAAGTATTAAAGACAGAATAAAGGTATATAGTGTAGTATGTTAAGACTAATAAGCAGGGGTAGGTATGTAAATAGGTGTACACTCACATATTATGGAGCGTAAGTATTGGCTCCAGAACTAATGCGCAAAGTGGTATGATCCACACTCTAGGATATAGGTGATGTGGATTTTCCTCTGTGAATATATAAAATAAAAATCCATAATACTGCATACCATAAAATTAGAGTGTCCAAAAGGACATGTAAGCCATGGGAAATTAAAATTAATTGGATGCCCTGCCTGTGCTTTTTCAGTTGACATATACATAATTAACACCCACAGGACTGTATCAGAATCCTGTATATTTACTTAATGTGATTGTTTTTCCAGGAACCAAAATATATCTTTCAAATTGTGTCACGTTATGGATTCTTTTTTGAACTAAAAGCGTTACAACATAAACCAGGTTTATTCAGCTTCTACATTCAGGTAATCAATAAGGATATCTGTGCTATTTGCTATTAACCTCTTTAAGTATTACAGAACTGTGTTAGGTTGCTAAAGGGTTTAAAATGTTGTCAAAGGATACCACATAGAATATTATATTATATAGAATATCTTGGACGGGTTTTCTTTATGTTTAATTTATTTTTTAATTGTATATCAGAGTATTACCAGATATTCCATTTTGATCTTTAGATGTATCTGATTTTAAATGGACACTATAGTTACAAGAATGACTACAGCTTAATGTAATAGTTCGGAGCATAGAGCCTCTCTATGCAGGGTTGGCAGTGTTAATGCTGCATGTTCAGAGAAAATACAGTGTTTACATTGCTGCCTACATCCACCTATAGTATCTGCCACCTGGACAGCCCCTAGGGCAGGGGTGCCTAAAACTCAGATTCCCGGATGTTGTAGAACTACAAATCCCATGATGCTTTGCATACCTTTAGAATGGTTTAAGAATGACAAAGCATCATGGAAGCTGTAGTTTTAAAACATTTAGGGATCCACCTTTTGGGCACCCTTGCTCTAGGGGGACTTGCTGGACGAGGTCCAATCTTCGCATGTTCTACGTTCAGTGTCTTTCCATAGAAATTCACTGATTTAATGCAGATTTCTGCAGTGATTTGCCAATAAACTTAAAACGCTTATAATGGGGATTGGAAAGCATTTTCAGCAGTGATGGATAGATAGAAAGATAGATAGATCTTGGTTTTATATGATTGTTATTTGTTTTTTAATAATTACAACATATATAATTTAATAGAGGTTGAAACACACAGACCCCATGTTGTCTCATCAAACTTTGGAGAATGAATGTTTCAGTCTGCGGCAGGAACGTGAAATTCAATATGAGATTAGAGTGCAGAGGTTGGCAGACAAAAAATGGCAAGAATTCACCACCGGTATTTTAACCCAGAAATTTGGAGTAACACCCAATTCCAGAAAAAGCCAGGTAAGAAAAATGCACCAACATCGGTCTTACCACCAGGGGGAGCTTTAATTGTTACTGCATACCATGTATACAATCTCACCTCAAAAGTAAAATAGACATATATGTTGTGGCGAAACCGACCTCGCCACTGGGCATTGGAGAAGACCGATTGACAGCCTCCTGCCATGTGACTATGGCCCCTGGGATGTATTGCCCTTTAAAGACATGATTTGGGCATAATGGATTTGTGTTGTGCTGCTGCTGGCCCTTTAAGAACCATCTGGGGACATACTGTGGAGTTACTGGATGGCCACCATTTCCTGTATCTTAGGCACATGGTGAGAACAATGGATGAAGCACATGGTAAGAACAATAGATGGCGGCCATTTTAACTCACAGACACTGTTTGGACTTTTCAACACGGTGCCATCTCGCCAGTATTTGGTGCACAGAGACATCGTGCCGTGGTTTTGGACTATACAACAGGGGACACATTATAGAGTAATTGTTTTTCATTTAGCCTGCATATGTTCTGTGGAATCTGCATTAAACTGTATCTTCCAAAGTACTGAACGGATCTGGGTGAATTTTGGATATGTGGTTCACCCAGATCCCCCGGTTCCAAGGATATACTTTTTATGGGGTTATTGCATGTTCTGGGGTCCCTGTGATGTTTTTTATGATACTGTATTTCTCTGCCTGTGATAATTAGATTAACCATTGTGTTCAGTAATCATATCACAGGCTGAGCGGAGGATTTTGTGTGGGAGTGTCTGTGTGTATTGTACAGATTGCTTGGTTGTTCTGTAAAACCCTGTGGGCAGTACTAAGTTTGTGGATTGGGAATAAAAGAGGCTGTATGTGCCAGTACAGTCAGTTCTGCATGACCTCAAAACGAAGTGTCGTCTCGTTACTGGGGGAATCTACTACAAGGGATTGCTATGCTAGTCATACTCCCTTGCTATATCACTACTAAGCTCTTGTAAGAGCTTGTTCCTGTCTTGCTCTCTGGAGGAGTCTACAGTGGTTATGGTGTCTGCTGCAGTGCTTGGAGCCCTCAGGAAGCACTAGGAGCATCCTTCAACGGAGATACCCAGTCGGGGTGCCAGTTGATCCGTTACATATGTAAACATGCTAACCTAATGTTATTTGTAAAATGAATCAATAGGAGAAAATGTACTTTAGGAAAGACACAACTGAAAGAGCACACTAATACTCATTTTGAAATTATTGTCTAGATAACATTAAAATATATAAAAACAGAAAGGTTTATATACTAAACAGTGAGTTGGTGTATAATGAAAACTGTTAAGCTTAGCATATTAAAAATAAATAATTCCTTCTTGGCTATTGCCACAGTTTCTCTATCTATCTATGTGTCTGTCTATCTGTCTGTCTATCTGTCTGTCTATCTATCTATCTACTTGTGTGTCTGTCTATCTATCTATCTATCCAAGCTTTTTCACTCCAACCTCCAGTCAAAAAGTATCCGCTGCCAAGTAACACTGTAAATACCTTATTAGAAAATATGGGCACTCCTGGCTTTGTAATGAATTGTTCCTTTATTGTCAAATATCCTTCAGTCAACGTTTCAGTTCCTCCTTGGAACTTTCATCAGGACATAAAACATATCTTACAGATAGAGGCTTTATATAGGACAAATAAGACGTTAATTACTCACCACTACAGCTGATCCTCATTCAGCAAATTGATCATCGTGTTTCCCGAGCCCGGGCACATACACGGAGCACTTGGGGATCCCTTTCGGCTATTGGCTATCCGCACACATACGGACGCCGAAGGGAGACGATATAAAACATATATTCTATTGAAAGCAGAGTCTAAATATAATAACACACAAGAGAACCAAAATCCTAAAGAAATCATCCCTAGAGTTGTATTTCCTTTGGAATTATATATATATATTTTTAAATTCTGCGCAATTCATTGTTTAATAATTACATTTTAGATATATTAGGTGGATTAAAGCAGGGCTGCCTAAAAGGTAGATCTCCAGATGTTTTGAAACTACAGCTTCCATGATGCTCTGTCTTTCTAAAGCCATGCAAAACACCATGGGAGTTATTGTTCCAAAACAAAGTGGGATCTACCTTTTGGGCACCCATGCATTAAAGTATGAAAAAAGCAAGATAAATCATTATTAGGTGTATTCACTAACCAAGGGATTGACAAATTACTTATAAAATGTTAACTTAACAAAATACCAAAATAATCGATTAAGAGAAATTTTACAGATAAGATAATTTTTCCTGAAAGTTTAAATTTTTCTTGTCATTCCTCTTCCATTTTCATCTTAGTGAATAATCACAAAATGCTGTATGTCCAGAATTTTACTGCACTAAGCAATGTCTATTAAACTTGACTGATTTGGAATGGACTGATTTGATTGCAGGACAGTAGTGAGATTTTAATCTCTATCCCATTAGGATTCCTTCCAATCAACTAACGATCAGTAGAATGTGGATTAATATTCTATCTACAATTCTCCATGTAGCAGGAACTGAGTTATAATTTCAAGAGACAATTTCTCAGGTCAGAAATTGGGTAGGTCCATGTAAAATGGTGTGGCGCTAAATGTAATTTTATCTGTTTTGTTCTGTGGTTTAATGGAATGTTGGCATAGCCTTCTGAGCCACGACCAATGGAAATTAACAAGTTCTCTCAGCTTAGATCAAGGAGAGTGGCATATATTATATAAATAGTATAGTTCTTTGTTCTTTGATAGCATTCCCTAAATAAATAGGTGGTTTCCATACGTTAAACGTTATGCCTTACAGTGCCTGCTCTATGAAGAGTATGTATAATATTTTTTTCCTAAAAAGCTTCTCCAACACTTTATTTTAACCTGTGAATAATGCCCTACTGGCAATATTCATGCAGTCCCCTCCCCACCCCCAAACGCTTTAAAAGCATTCAAAATGAAGGTTTTACTTACCTTCATCCAGTGCTGGGAAAAGCTCTTAGCACTGCTCGGCGCTTCCCATCTGATGTGGCCAAACTGAGGTCCAATCAAAGGCTTGACAATAGACATATTTCATGCTTAGAATAATAATTAGACAGCCAGGAACAGAGTTCTGGACTGCTACTGTCACATGTGCTGGCGGTGCAGCTAGCACACAATTAACAAAAAGTCTGAATGTGCAATGTTTAAAGTTAACACACTGCACACCCAGACTCTAACCACCATGACCACTTCAAATCACACATAGGAGTCTCCTGCAAGGTCTAGCAAGCTATTAACAGTGCAGGAGATATGAAATTCTACATTAAACAGACTGTACAATAAAGGAAGTGTAAACATTAGATGACTATTCACAGGAAGTGTTTAGGAAGCCTGTATATGTTACAGGCAGGGAAGTGTGATTAGAGCTGTATAAACAATGTGATTGAACTCTAGAGAATTGAGCAGTGAGACTGCAGGAACATGATCTATACACCAAAACTGCTTCATTAAGCTAAAGTTGTTTTGGTGCCTACAGTGTCCCTTTAAATTGGGTAGATCGGAAAAATGCACTAGTAACAAGTCTATATTGAAACTCTATACTTGTGAATCTGTGGTAAAGCTTTATGTAAATTAGATAAGAAAACTAAAAGATAAATAAAAGATAACTATTATTGTCTAATGCAGACGTTTCCTAAAATCACTCTCTGCTACCTGTATACACCCCCTTGGCTTGGTTTAATCCCCTCCACTTATCTTTGTGTATGGCTGCCTTCCCAGTCTTTCTGTCCTGTAGCTTCCATATATGCCCGGGAACCCTGAAGAATTTGAAAAAAATAAATAAATTGACAAATTGTCTAATAAATTGTTTTTGCCATTTACAGGTTTTGAGATTGTTTTTGCCATCAGTTCCATTATACGTCACCTATTCCTTCCTATTTCTACCAACTTTAAGTTAGGCCACAGGAGGCCATAACGTATTTCAACAGTTAGAACTTACTTCATATCTGTTTGGGAGTCTGAACATATGAAACGTTGAATAATACCATAAGCTAAAACCTTGTAAAAGTGCGCATGAAATAAACTACGATATAGCTGCTTTTTGTCTATTTTTTTTCCTTTATGCATGTGGTGAGCAGTTTCACTTTTATCTACCTCAGTTGTATTTTAATAATAACTAACGAGATCACCCATTTTTCTTGAAAACTTTAGCTTGATTAAATTTACATTAAAGGGACACTATAGGCACCCAGACCATTTCAGCTCAATGAAGTGGTTTGGGTGCCAGGTCCCTCAGGTTTTAACCCTGCAGATGCAAACATAACAGTTTCAGAGAAACTGCTATGTTTACATTGCTGGGTTAAGCCAGCCTCTAGTGGCGGTCTTCAGGACAGCCACTAGTGGCGCATTATGCCATTGCCTCCATCACGCAGAGCGTCCATAGGAAAGCATTGTAAAATGCTTTCCTATTGACAGCCTGAATGCGCGTGCGCCATTTCCGCGCATGCGGATTCGGCTCCGCTGGCGTCGGTAGAGGGAGCTGGCGTCGGCGGGGGAGGAGAGGTCACCAGCGCCGAGGGAGCCCGGCGCTGGAATGAGGTAAGCTGCTGAAGGGGTATTAACCCTTTCAGCGACACAGGAGGGGTACCCTGAGGGTGGGGGCACCCTCAAGGCACTATAGTGTCAGGAAAACCACTTTGTTTTCCTGACACTATAGTGATCCTTTAAGTTTGGTCAGTCAGGAGGCAACTAATACACAATCAGAGATAGTTATAAAGGACAATCAGGAACTAAAGTTCTAAATGTTAACAAATAACCACATAAAGGAATGTTCTTGCTGATTGCTCAACTTTTAGAACGTTGCCCCAGAAAATCTGTAGCAGTAACCACAATGCTAATTACACATCGATTCATTATTAATTATGGCATTACAGTCACATAAAATCTGTATAGCTTTCCTGAGAAAGAGGAAAGATATAAAGAAATCTAAATCCAAACAAATCCACCCATAGAAAGAAACCTGATACCTATTGATCTATACACGATTTTATAATTTTTTAAGAATGATCTTAAAGTTAAAGGACCACTTAAGACACCCAGACCACTTCATCTCCATTTGGTTTGGGTGCAGTGGCAGTTTAGTGTTAACCCTGCAATGTAAAACACTGTAATTTTGAAGTAATTGTAAGGTTCCCGTTGCAGTATTAAACACACTGTGAGACCCGAGTCAAACTTGGTTCTCAATTTGCTGCCCATGCGCAGTAGCCCCACATGCCTCCCTATGGGGAAGCATTAGATTGGTTGAGATCATCCAAGTTGATGATCTCAGCAATCGAGGCAAGGCGGGCATGGTAAGAGGGCAGTGACAGAAGGCAAGTAATACTCACTTTTCAAACCCTCATTGGGGGGTAGGGACACCTACATAGATAGCAGAACACTATAGCGTTAGAGTATATGTTTGTATTTCTAAAGTTATGGTATACCTTTAAATAGGACTTATGCCAACAAAGCTCACTGAGGCATCTTCTTTCTTGTAGTGAGTGGCAGTGGAGTTAAAATTTAACTTTTTTAATAAAATGTCTTTCAAAATGCTTTCTTGTCCTCATCATGTGTACTGAAGGGAACCAGTACATCAGGCCATATGCATATGACGCAGAACCATGAAGGATCAATGCAAGAATGCGCACATATGCCCATTGCTCTCTGAATACCATCGATGTGCCAGGAAGAGCGTAGGCTGGAATGTTGAGCTAAACATCTGAAAAATTCCTTTTCTTTAAAAAGGGAGCTAAATAAGACTTACCCATAACAGAGGATGGGAAATTGGGTAAGGAAGAGAATAAAGAGCTGTCAGGGGGGTGGGAAGGGTGGGTGGAGGGGGGGGGTTAAAAGAAAATGTTGGGGCATGTGCATATAATGAGAATGGTTTGATGAAAAGGTAAAAACATTATGTGGAGAGCCACATAATTTTCTGTCCACTGTATTACTTCACATTGTTTGCTATAGTACTTAGCAACAAAGTAAAACTAAAGTGAGTGCATATATAATTCACCCAGCACTGTTATTAATAAATGACAACCTTTTTTACCTGCCATCTGTCAAGACGCATTGAGAATTCAATAAGTTACTTGTTAGTTTGTGACAGATTGCTGCTGCCACTATTTATAGATCGTAATATCCAGGTTTATGAAGAGATAGTGTGGTCACACAATGGAACCCATTTTTACAAGTAAAAACTAAAATGACACAAACATTTTAAAGCAACAAATGTATGCATATTCGCAGGAACCTGATGAATGACATAATGAAATGATAAAAGCATTTTTTCCTGTTATACTAAGTACATTTCTATGGAGGCACATACTCCACATTTTTAGAAATGTCTGCGTGACCAAAGTGATATTAATTACCTAACATTTTATTTCTGCATGGAAGAATTTGATAGCCCACAAATGGTAAGGGTAGCCTTTATGTGCGTGGAGAGGCTCAGTGTGTTGCTTGTGTGCTGTATACCCCACACTGAGCCAGTTATCAGTTTTCTGACACACACATTTCATTATTATTTTTTTTGTTCCTCTTATCTTTGGGTAGGTAGGACTAAGGTACATGGAAGTCTGCTTGGGGTAATTTGTCTTCAATTCCAGATCAATTTGAACAGTCCTTTCAGCCTGTACATGAATCAGAGCATTTGCTGGGTAGCCATGCGGTATTGTTCCTATTCTCACAGAACTTTTAGATCATAAAGAGGAAGGCAAAATTGTGATTTAAAGGAGCACTATACAAACATGTATTCCTTACACTATAGGGTTAAAACCACCATCTAGCCACGCTGGGCCCCTCATGCCTCCCTAAATATTGTAAAATCTTACTTGTATTCAAGTCTGGAGCTGATTACTTTGTCCCTGTTTCCTTTAGACCTGCCTACTGCCTTCTGACATCAGCAGAAGTGGTAGCCTGATCCAATCACAATACTTCCCCATAGGATTGGCTGAGACTGACAAAGAGGCAGATCAGGGGCAGAGCCAGCACAATTCAAACACAGCCCTGGCCAATCAGTATCTCCTCATAAAGATGAATTGAATCAATGAATCTCTATGAGGAAAGTTCAGTGTCTGCATGCAGAGGGAGGAGACACTGAATGTTTGGATGCATTTTAGGCAGCCATGACCCAGGAAGGATCTCTAACAGCCATCTGAAGAGTGCCCAGAGAAGTTATCACTAGGCTGTAATGTAAACACTGCATTTTCTCTGAAAAGACAGTGTTTACAGCAAAAATCCTGAAGGTAATGATTCTACTCACCAGAACAAATTCAATAAGCTGTAGTTATTCTGGTGACTATAGTGTCCCTTTAAACCTTCTGAAAGTCAAGACCACAGGCTCTCTCGATGTAGTAAGGTTGATGGAGAGCCAGTTGGGGAAACATGTTCTTCCAACCAGCCTGTGGGGCACACAGACAGCGGAATGCTTAAATAGTATGATTTGGTACTGTATTTATTTTTTTGCATGCCTAAATCTTTCTAGGTTTTGCACAAAAAAAAAAAAAAAAAAAGTTTTGCAGGCTCCTGCATCATAAGCCTGCCTTTTTTGCCTTGCTCTCTCATCCCAGAAAGACTAGACTTCCTTATGCAATGTATGCATACACACTTAACCCCAACGGAACTGAGTGAGCTGCTTTTAATTCACATTCTGGCTGCAGACTGTCAGAGAAACTATAAAACCGGGCAGTGATATCCCTACTATGA